TGTAACAAGTGTACCACCTTCCTGAGGATTTTGGAAAGGTTAGAGGTAAGGGAACAAGAATTATCCTGCCTAGATGCCAATAGCATTCCACCCTCACTGAAATATATTGATTTAGAGTATTCTTATTCTGCATAGTTCCAGATATAAAAATTAAAAATATTTTGCCTACTTTAAGTTTTTTAATAATTTATGTATCATTAATTCACACTGCTTTTCTCATCAACTTTGCCTGAAAAGTAATGTTTTACACCTTTCCATAAAGTTAAATTATACCAATTATCTAAATATTTTCAGGACTCTGTTTAAATTCAAAAAATAAAATGGGCCAGGCTCAGTGGCTCACATCTGTAATCCCGGCACTTTGGGAGGCCAAGGTGGGTAGATTACTTAAGGTCAGGTGTTCAAGACCAGCCTGGTCAACATGGTGAAACCCTGTCTCTACTAAAAATAAAATAGAATTAGTTAGGTGTGGTGGCACATGCCTGTAATCCCAGCTACTCGGGAGGCTGAGGCAGGAGAATCACTTGAACCTGGGAGGCGGACATTGCAGCAAGCCGGAAACGCACCACTGCACCCCAGCCTGGGCGACAGAGTAAGACTTTGTCTCAAAAAAAAAAAAGCAATTTAATTTAATTTAGTTTTAAAAATAAAAAAATAAAAATAATGGATGGTGCCAAAGTGATTGTATGAGTGACAATAAAACCCGAAGGTATGAGGGACAATATATATATTCCTCTTTAAAGGAACCTTGGCCAGGCACAGTGGCTCACACCTGTAATCCCAACACTTTGAGAGGCCGAGGTGGGAGGACTGCTTGAGCCCAGGAGTTCAAGACCAGCCTGGGCAACACAGTGAGATCCCATCTCTACAAAAATTAAAAAATTAGCTGGGTGTCGCAGTATGTGCATGTGGCCCAGCTACTTAGGGAGCTGAGGTGGAAGGATCACTTAAGCCCAGCTTAAGTGATCCCAGCTACTCAGGAGCTTGAAGTGGGAGGATTACCTGAGCTGGGGAGGTTGAGGCTGCAGTGAGCTATGATCACGCCAACCTGGGTGACAGAGACCCTGTCTCTAAAAACATAAAATAAAATAAAGGAGCCCTATACATAGGTATAGATAAGATTTTTTTTTTTTTTTTTTTTTTTTTGAGACAGAGTTTCGCTCTTGTTTGCCAGGCTGGAGTTGGCCAGGCTGGAGTGCAATGGCAGGATCTTGGCTCACTGCAACTTCTGTCTCCCAGGTTCAAGCGACTCTCCTGCCCTAGCCTCCCGAGTAGCCGGAATTACAGGCACGCTCCACCACATCCAGCTAATTTTTTGTACTTTTAGTAGAGAAAGGGTTTCACCATGTTGGCCAGGCTGATCTTGAACTCCTGACCTCAGGTAATCAACCTGCCTTGGCCTCCCAAAGTAAACAAGACTTTAAGAATAAGTTTCAGGAGCAAGAAGGGGCAGAGGGAGGCATTGGAAAGCAGGACTATGAGGAAACTTTATTGGGTGATGAATTTACTCTTGATTTTAGTAAAGGTTCACAGGTCTATAGATATGTCGAAACTTAATAAGTTGTACACTTTAAATATATGCAGTTTATTGTATGCCAATTATACGTCAATATAACAATTTTAAAAAATAATAAATTTCTGAGGCCTGAAAAGCAAAACAATAGTATAAGAATACTGTCTCCGAACAGTCCCAGAAAAAGACTTGAGATACTACATAATACAAGGAAAGGTTTGAGGATATAACCAAGTGACTGATTCACAATTCCCTTCAGAAAAATGGCACAGGATCGCAGAAATTAGGTGGCAAAAATACTAATATGCCCAAATTGAGAACACAAGAATCTGCTATGCCTAGAGCCCCTGTCACTAATTCAGTGCAATAGCATGTGCTGAGGCGGGGCTGGAAGAGAAATCACAGTCATACCAGACAGACACCCAATCCCAGAGGTCATAAACTGACCATCACATTGGGCATCACTGACATGTTTAGTTTGGTCCTCACTGTTGGAAAAATAATCTTTTTTAATTAGTTGCCAACATTTAAAAATTCAGAGATCTCTCCACCCAAATCTGAATGCTTAACCTTTCTCAAAATATCAGAAGATCTGGTAACACTTGGACCCCTATTTCCAACCTAGCAATAGGCCAGGCACTCTGGTCAGCCACAGACTTCTGGACTCAGTCTTCCTATTGTTCTGTCCCTGGAAGCTTGACCCATTTACTGTAATGTTCCAACACTATCTCAGTGCTCATCCCCTACATGAAAGTGAACTACACTTAATTAGAGGTGTAACTCCCACTCCAAAAGGTAAGGAACTTTCCTACCTAAGCAAGCAGTGGCAGCCAACAGAAGGCTAGACTTAAGCATACCTTTTTAGAGAAAGGTCAATAATGAAAACAAATCCTGAAAACCAGTTCTTGGGGCATTAGTTTACAACTTCAGTGGAGAAACTTGTGACAGAATTTCCCTACTGAAGATCCTTCTCAGCCCCAGCCCCCTCACCCTTCAAACACAAATGCATACACAGTCCCAGCTCCTTCCTTAGCCTTCCCCTCCCACATTCTGCCAGGTAATGGAATGGTAACAGGAATTTTTATCATCTTGCCTCCAGCTTAAGATGAAGAAAAATTTCTTTAAAAAAAAAAAACTGGTGAAAAGGCAAAGTTCCCAAGGAATAATCACACAAATTATTACAGGTCAAAAGGGGTCAGAAACCTATACTAATTCAATAAATAATCAATATTTTATTTAATCATTTTATAACAAAAGCATAAATATTAAATCACGCTCAAGGTAAGATTTCTTATTATCACTTAACATTTTTCTAGTCAATGCATAAAATAATAGAGAGAACTATCACAAAGAAGTCAATTTAAAAAACAAACAAAAAAAAAAACCTCTTAGTTTGCGGATGACCTCATTCCAAGAGAAACCACTGAAAACCAATGAAAACAAATAGGGAAATTCAATAAGGTGACTGAATGGTTACAAAATTAATATACAAAATTACAGTTGTTTCACCTCAGCAATAATCATAGAAAAAACAAGATGAATAAAAATTGAAACATTATAGCAAACAAAACTATAAAATATACCCCGGAACAAAACCAATGAGAGGTGCTAGCACAGTCACATTATCCTGGAGAGGGAGACTTCCTGAGGGGTGATCAACTGTCTAGTTGCTACTTAGAGAGTGGGACTGGACTACCACAAAAGATTGACCCTACTCTCTGAACTGTGCATAAGCCGCCCTGTCAAAGTTCAGCCTGCACATGACCCAAGAGGAAATCATGGCTTGTTTCCCCAGTGACACTCTGGACCTGATCAAAACCTACGCCTCCCGGGTCCAGTTCTGAATCATAGGAAATCCAGCCAAAACTGTTCATTCCTCAGAGTGTATACAGGAAACAGATCCAACCAGCAGAGAATCAGGATTCATCACTTTTCAGGAACCGGGTAAAATGTTAAGGAGAGAAAATTTACCTATTCTCTAAGGAAGGGATTTCAAGGAACTCTTTAAAAAGCTTTTGACAGAGGCCAAGCGTGGTGGCTCATGCTTGTAATCCCAGCTCTTTGGGAGGCTGAGGCAGGGTGGCTTGAGGTCAGGAGTTCGAGACCAACCTGGCCAACATGGCCAAACCTTGTCTCTACTAAAAATACAAAAATTAGCCAGGCATGGTGGTGGACACCTAAAATCCCAGCTACTACTTGGGAGGCTGAGGCATGAGAATTGCTTGAATCAGGAGGCAGAGACTGCAGTGAGCCAAGATTGTGCCACTGCACTCCAGCCTGGGTAACAGAGCAAGACTCTGTCTCAAAACAAAACATAACAAAAAAACAGTTTTTGACAGAGAACTAACTGTAAGTGTGGAAATAAGTACATAGGACTTTTACATTGTTATTACTGAACCGAACCAAGAGAAAAAAAATACTTTGGGCCAGGCGTGATGGTTCACGCTTGTAATCCCAGCACTTTGGGAGATGGAGGTGGGCAGATCACTTGCGGTCAGGAGTGATCACTTGAAACCAGAAAGGCCAACATGGTGAAACCCCGTCTCTACTCAAAATACAAAAATTAGCCAGGTACAGTGGCATGCACCTATAGTCCCAGCTACTCGGGAGGCTGAGGCACAAGAATCGCTTGAACCCAGGAAGTGGTGATTGCAGTGAGCCAAGATTGTGCCACCATACTCCAGAACAGAACAAGAACCCATCTCAAAAAAACAAAAAAAAAATTGGGGGCTGGGCGTGGTGGCTCACGCCTATAATCCCAGGACTTTGGGAGGCTGAGGTGGGCAGATCACTCAAGGCCAGGAGTTAAAGACCACCCTGGCCAACATGGCAAAACTCCATCTCTACTAAAAATACAAAAAATTTAGCCAGGTGTGGTGGTGCACATCTGTAGTCCCAGCTACTAGGGAGGCTGAGACACAAGAATCACTTGAACTCGAAAGGCACAGGTTGCGGTGAGCCAAGATCATGCCATTGCACTCCAGCCTGGGGGACAGAGTGAGACTCTGTCACAAAAAAGAAAAAATATTTTGAAATATGTTTATATTAATAGGAAATTTCCAATTAATACAGTCCTCAATATTTCAGAATTTGTGATTGTTTATGGTTTGGTTTCAAGATTATCTTTTTACTCTCTAGACGAAAGTAGTTTCCTAAGAATATTAACTTAGGATTGATGATTTCAAGCACCACAGAAACATCTGTTTATATTCAGATAATTAATATGCTAATTTCTATCTATTAAATTAAGCAGGTTACCTAAGGACTTTTCAAAATAATACTTCATTAGCCTGATAATAATGAATATATATAGTTGAAATAAGAAAATGGACATCTGTTGTAAGACATCCTTCAATTTAAGCCTTTTACTAAATCAAACCAGTTTTCATACCTTAATTTCAATTATGGAGGTACATGTCAACAAACCAAAACAATACAAAACAAAAAATCCTCTTTTGAGATAGAAAACAAACATTTCCATTCTTACCTTTGATGGTCTCCATTCCCAACTATCACCTATCTGTTGTGAATGTTTAATGAATTCTGCACAATAATGTTGGAATGTTTTTTCTCCAATGAACTCATCTTCTTCCATGTTAAATGACAACTGTAATATAAAAACTAAGTATTAGCATCAACTTTAGAATAATATTGAAAGGAATTCTGCTAACTGATTTATTTCTGTCAATAAACCAAAATTTGGGATGTAGAATGGCCTCAAGGCCACTGAAAAATGGTTTTGGTCAGGTGTGGTGGCTCACACCTGTAATCCCAGCAATTTGGGAGGCCAAAGCAGGAAGACAGCTTGAACTGAGGAGTTCGAGACTAACCTGGTCAACATAGCAAGACTCTGTCTATATACAAACTAAAAACAGCCAGGCAGAGTGATGTGCACTTGTAGTCTCATCTACTCAGGAGGCTGAGGCAGGAGGATCACTTGAGACCAAGAGTTCAAGACTGCAGTTAGGTATGATCATGCCACTCTACTCCAGCCTGGGCGAGAGAATGAGACCCCATCTCAAAAAAAATTAAAAAGTGTTTTTGTTTTTTCTATCTTTCTCACCTTATCCCCATTTTTTTGTTGTTGTTTTTATTTTTGTTGTTTTTATTTTTGTTGTTGTTGTTATTGTTTTTGAGATGAAGACTCGCTCCATCATCCAAGCTGGAGTGCAATGGCATGATGCCGGCTCACTGCAACCTCCGCTTCCCAGGTTCAAGTGATTCTCCCACCTCAGCCTCTCGAGTAGCTGGGATCACAGTTGCATGCCACCACGCTGGCTAATTTTTGTATTCTTAGTAAAGATAGGGATTCACCATGTTGGCCAGGCTGGTCTTAAACTCCTGACCTCAAGCGATCCACCAGCCTCGGCTTCCCAGAGTGCTGAGATTATAGGCATGAGCCACAATGCCCAGCTTTTTCTGTTTTTATATTCCTGTTTCTGTATCTTTGGTGCTTAGCATAGTAAACACTCTAGATGCTTTTGTTCAATTGAATTAAAATCATATAAACTGCAAGGATTTTAAACCCCTGTTTGGCTCCAAGGTCAATGATCTGTCTATACTAGCTAATTCCTAAACCACTGTCATTTCTGATTATTCAAATTTAGTATAATCTATGTAAGTTTGTTCATTCATCCAACAAATACATAGTGAATATCTATTAAGTAGCAGGCACTGTGCGTAAGTAAAAGTTAGGTATACAAAAATGAAAAAATATATAGTCCTTGCCTTGTAAGAGCTCATATTCTAACAAAGGGAGATAAGAAATACAAATAATTACAGTAGGAACTCTCTTATCCAACCTCCATCTAACCAACTTGCCAGATTAATCGACACTGACTCATGTCTACAGCATGCTGATCATGAAGCACCTCTGCTCCCATCAGTTAACTGTGTGTTCACAAACCTTATTCTCCTATCATAAATATATACTGTAATTAAATGTTAAACAAACCAAAACATAAGAGTAAAAAAGAAGGCAGGGCGTGGTGGCTCACCCAGCACTTTGGGAGGCCGAGGCGGGCAGATTATGAGGTCAGGAGATCAAGATCATCCTGGCTAACACGATGAAACCCCGTCTCTACTAAAAATACAAAAAATTAGCCGCGCGTGGTGGCGGGCGCCTGTAGTCCCAGCTCAAGAGGCTGAGGCAGGAGAATGGCATGAACCCAGGAGGCGGAGCTTGCAGTGAGCCAAGATGGTGCCACTGCATTCCAGCCTGGACGACATAGCCAGACTCCGTCTCAAAAAAAAAAAAAAAAGTTATAAAAGAAGGACAACTGATATTTCTATAACCAAATGCCTTGGAAAGATTTGATAAAAGTGAGTCTCTCTAAGAAAAATAAACTGCTATTGAACTAGGTATGGACAATACAACTGAAAAGATTGGTGGGGACAGGGGAGAGAAAAGATTCCAAGCTTTCTGCCTTTAGGTGGTGGTTCATTGAGTAAGACAGAGGTCTCTGGAGGAAGAAAAGGTTTGGGAAGAGAGATGGGTTTAATTTGGCCATATTGAGTTTGAATTTGAAATGCCTGTGGAATGTCCAAGTAAAGGGGTCCAGCAGGCATTTTGAGGTGTGTCTTGAACTCAAAAGGAAAGAGAAATCTGGGCTGGAAATACCGATTCTATATCAACATTACGTAGATGGTAACAGAACCCATTTCATCAATCAGAGAGAGAATGCAAAACTAGAATAGCAAGAGAAGACTGATATGGTGCAGTCAGAGGAAATTTTTCCAAATGTATGATGATCCTGACATATACTGAAAGATACTAAATCAAAGAAAAATTAACTTTCGTTCATAAAGAACACTAATATACTTACTAATATTTTTAAAACTCCAACAAGACTCTTAGTTAGTAACAAAACTGAACAAAGCAGGCCGGGCGCGGTGGCTCAAGCCTGTAATCCCAGCACTTTGGGAGGTTGAGACGGGTGGATCACAAGGTCAGGAGATGGAGACCATCCTGGCTAACACGGTGAACCCCGTCTCTACTAAAAAAAATACAAAAAACTAGCCGGGCGAGGTGGCGGGTGCCTGTAGTCCCAGCTACTCGGGAGGCTGAGGCAGGAGAATGGCGTGAACCTGGGAGGTGGAGCTTGCAGTGAGCTGAGATCTGGCCACTGCACTCCAGCCTGGGCGACAGAGCGAGACTCCATCTCAAAAAAAAAAAAAAAAAACCTGAACAAAGTAGCCTAAGCCCTCCAGTTACTTGAGGTTTACTGAAGTATTGAAAATACTTAAACATAAAATTTCATTCAATAGCCATAGTGTATCTAATTAACAGCACTGTGCTACGAGCAAGATGACTGAACATCAAAACACTAATTGATATTTGGTTGAATACTTTTAAAATTATCTAAGGACTAGGCTTTGCTGAAGGATGCTACATACAATAATACAAACACTTATGGCTTGATTACAAAATTAGGAAGTATACTATATTAAAAAGATATCCATCTCAACTCGATTCATCATAACGTACCATAATGAAATATCATGGAATAATTATTGCTTTTTTGCTCAAGAATATTTCAACTCAAAAATGTAAATATAATTCAATCAACATTTTTATACATAGTTTTCAAGTTGTAATACTTTCTGGTCCTCTACCAAATTCATAAACTAGCAGAGGCAGAAATTTGAATCAGAACTTCCTATAATGAAATGGATGAAAATATGGCTAAAAATGGAAATAACCACAACTGTGGCTTATTAAGCAATAATAGCAAGAATACTTATTTTGCAAATTGAAAAACCTTAGATATGTGAACTGCATATGTTTCCAGACTTAAGTTATCTTAAACTAAATTTACTCTACAGGTGACAACAGTCACTCAAGTGAACTCTCAGTAAAAAGATGAATTTCAATTCTCATCTCATCCTAAACAATGAATCTCTCATTTCTAGTTGTAAGTAAAAGTTAGAAATGAGTCAGCACTCCTTGTGTCATAAAGTATAAGTTGTTTTGTTTTGTTTTGTGTTTTGGAGACGGAATCGCCCAGGCTGGCATGCAGTGGCATGATCTCAGTTCACTGCAATCTCCGCCTCCCGGGTTCAAGTGATTCTCCTGACTCAGCCTCCCAAGTAGCTGGGACTACAGGTGCACGCCACCACACCAGGCTAATTTTTTGTATTTTAGTAGAGACCGGGTTTCACTGTGTTGTCCAGGCTGGTCTCGAACTCCTGAGCTCATGCAATCCACCCACCTTAGCCTCCCAAAGTACTAGGATTATAGGTGTGAGCCACCACGCCCGGCATTAAGTTGTTATTAACATCCATTTTGCTTGAGACTTACTCCAGCTGAAGAATTGTGTTGTTTTGTTCTTGATTTTGTTTTTGTTACGTAACATTCAATCAAAACCTTTTTCTAACTGCTTTACCAGAGACTAAAGATTGGAAAATAGAGTAAGTTTCCCCGCCAAGTGAGGGTAGTCTTTCCAAACTATAAGTTAGCCCTTAGACTAGAAGCATAGAAGATGTTTATTCTGCTGCTGTTCAAATATATCTTTCCAGAAAAGCAGCCTTAGTGAATTCTAACACTATATAATCATTGTTTAAATGATCCTTTTTAATTGAAAACAATTTTTTCACTACCACTCTCCATATTGTTTAATGTGATTTTTAATATAATGTGTGTGGAACTAATTCTTTGTTATTGTTTTAGTTGGAGCCATTGATTTGATGAATCTATAAATCAATGTATATCAAAGTCATCATAGGACTAAAACACTATAAGAAATATAACTAAATTTCCCGGAACTTAAGATCATTTACAAAAATGTGATTACCACAGAACATGCTATGCATACATTTAAACATTAAAAATCATTTTTGACTAATAAAGTAGGCAATTTCCTGAATACTTGTCCCTCCTAGCAACAATTCCACATTATTTATAACTCTAAGTGTAGACTCTTTTTTAAAAAACATGCAATATCAGCTAGGAGAGTTAAACATCAACCCACTACTTTTATGGCAATTTGGCTTGAATTCATTTAGATTAATTTAATCACTTACCTAGCAAGGTCCTTAGGCAGTGGTCCTCAAATTTTAGAGAGCAAGGAAGCAACCACAGTGCAAATTTAAATGCAGAATCCTAAGTCTTGGCCGAAAGATAACCTGATTCTGAAGACCCCAAAATAATTACTTTTAATTAGCACCTGGGATACTTTCAAAGGGAATCATGCTAAAAGACTAGCATGATCCCTAGACAAAAGATGAATCATTTTGACAGGGCTGGTAAAAGACCTGGATTTCAAGACATTTGGCAGCCTGGGTGGGACACAGAAGGCATGGCCCTGGGCAATCCAATAAAATAGCACAGAGATACATCAAAAGAGAAGTCGGATCAGTCCTGACAACAGATGACCAGCAGGGCTCAATTCTCCCTCCTCGCCTTCCCATTGGAATACATATTCCAAATCAAAGTTTAAATAAGAGGCAACACTGTACCTAGCCTAGAAATGAGGAATCTCTGTTGGTAGCTGAGGCTTGCTCTGACCTCTCTATCACTAGGTCAGTTGGGAAGAGGGTCATTTCACCCTCTCCCATTCTGTATTCCCTTCAGAGAAACAGATCCTGAGTTGCCCCTCCCCTCCTGGTTTCTAGCCCCACTGGTAATTCTCTTTCAAGGCAGTTCTCGCCCAGTAGTGCAGTGTGCATGGCCAGATATGGAAGGTAAAGCCCTGAGGTGCACTGAGTACTGTGCAGCGAGTGACAGGTTTGCTGCAGGAACAGGATGAGCTCTCAAAATAGTATAGTCTCACCACTAACATCCCAAAAAACTAAAAAAAAAAAACAAAACTATAAACTGTTTCAAATCATACAAAAACACTTCCCTCATTATAGTTACAGGACCGAAAGATTCAACACTAGGAAAGGAAGACCTCTCCTGAGTATAGAAAATGATCTATCCTTCATAAATTTGGTTGTACCCATTCATCTGCTTTCCAAGCTAACAAAAAGAGGAAGATTCCTCCAGCTTCTAAAGGTAGGGAGAGAGACGAAGGAAGGAACGCTTGGTCCCTCTGACCAGTCAACATGCCCCTCTTTTGTCAAGGTAAGTAAACCAAAACACAAGACCTTTAAGTAGCTCTTGCATAACAAAAGAGGGGCACTACCAGAAACAGGAGGAGGTAAAGCTTGCTCCTGTAATGGGCTTACACTAGGAATATGGAAATCAAACTGAGGAATTATGTACTCTATGTTCCCAATTTTAAAAAGAAAAAGTTTAGAAAGGGAAAGACCTCATCTAAAAGCAAGAGATGAGGAAGGAAAAACAGCTGAGATTAAAAAGGAAACTGGATAAGAAAAAACTGGAAGGAAATTCAAACATGTAACAGTAGAGATATAAATTCTACATTCAAGGCAACAGAGAGATGTATAGAAGCCGGAAAAAAATCACATTCGAGTTTCAGTGTATAAGCACACAAGATCCTTTCCAAATACACAAAAGAAAAGAGACCATGATGAAAACCATGCATATTGTTTGATGGGAAGGACAAAGAACACAGGTCCAACCTACAAATAACTGGAATTTCCGAACTACAATCATAAGCAAATGTACAACTGCAAAACTGTTCTAAGATGGGGGAAAAAAGATTTAAAAGATTTACCTATAAACTGAAAGAATTCACCATGTTTCTAAAAAAAAACAAAGCTGCTAGAAAGAAACTTATGCCTAAACATAGCCTGGTGGAATATCTTAATTTAAAGACTAGAAAGAAAAAAAGATGCAGGCAAAAAAAAAAAAGGTTTACCTACAAGCAACAAAAATCAGGGTAGCCTCTGCCATCTTCACCCACTGCAATGAATGCCAGAAGATGATACAGCAACGTCTACAATGTCTGGGGATTTGATTTACACTTTGTATCTTAGCATCTATAACAGATAAGCAAACAGTAAATTTTTTTTTAAGTTGTAAATGAATAAAAGAAAAATTCAGACCAAGCACAGTGGTTCATGCCTGTAATCCCAGCACTTTGGGAGGCTGAGACAGGAGAATCACCTGAGGTCAGGAGTTCAAGACCAGCCTGGCTAACATGGTGAAATCCCTTCTCTACTAAAAATACAAAAATTAGCCAGGTGCAGTAGTGTGCACTGTAGTCCTAGCTACTCCAGAGGCTGAGGCAGGAGAATCGCTTAAACCCAGGAGGCGGAGGTTGCAGTGAGCTAAGATTGTGCCACTGCACTCCAGCCTGGGTGACAAAGCGAGACTGTCTTAAAAAAAAAGAAAAAAGAAAAAAAAATGTAAAAATTTGAATGGACTTATTCTATATATCTCTTCTCATTTATAGTACCTTTCTTCAACTTTCAGGTCTATTCACTTCTTGGTACTTTTCTTACACAAACTGATGTATACTTTGGGAGGCCGAGGTGGGAGGATCACTTGAGGCTAGGAATTCAAGGTTGCAGTGAGCTATGACCGTGACACTGCCCTTCAGCCTGGAGACAGAGCAAGATCCTGTCTCTAAAACAAACAACAACAACAACAACAAAACCCACAGATCTATGTGACATCCAATCTTTCTGATACCAGTATCATTATTTTTATTAAAAGATTTTTTTAATAATAAAACTCTGCAAGCTCCTAAGAAAAACTGTTCCAACACTGATGACAATTTGAGCTGATCCACCAGCTCAAACTGTCTTGCTGTCTTTGAACAGTGGGTGGTAGGACTAGTACAACAAACTCTAGTCAGCACATATGCCAAGATTCCCAGAATTAGGAAATAAGGAGATAATGGGGTATCCTTGGCCAAAAGTATCCAAAAAATAAGAGACAGAAAGGAGCAGTGGCTCATGCCTGTAATCCCAGCATTTTGGGAGGCCAAGGTGGACAGATCACCTGAGGTCAGGAGTTCGAGACCATCCTGACCAACATGGTGAAACCCCATCTCTACTAAAAACACAAAAATTAGCTGGGCGTGATGGCAGGCAGCTGTAATCCCAGCTACTTGGGAGGCTGAGGCAGGAGAACCACTTGAACCTGGGAGGCAGAGGTTGCAATGAGCTGAGATCGTGCCATTGCATTCCAGCTTAGGCAACACAGCGAGACTCCATCTCAAAAAAAAAAAACAAAAAAAGGACCAACACAATATCAGAAGCTACAGAATCAGTACCAGCCTGAATACAGATGATAGAGCAAAGTGCCTTTAAAATATACTACCAAGTGCCATATTTTTATTTTGGAAAATTTTAAAAAAAGAAATGGTTGGACATTTTTGTAATGAAAGACACATTCTCTTTAAATTTTTCTTCTTGCAAACGTCTTTGTTCAGAGATGAGACTAATGTGCCTTCTATTTCCACAAGTTTTTCATTCATTCACTCAGTACCTACAATACCCTAGTGCTTGCTGTGAGTGTCCCCCTAGAAAAGAATATCAAACTTCCTGGCAAAACTGGGGAAGACTCCAAAACTTGGAGTTCTGAACACATGAATTCAATTCTTAAAGAACTGAATTTCGAAATTTGAGTAAGGGCCAACCAGGTGGAGACAAAGTCACTCCAAAAATATGGAGGAGCTCCTGCAAAGACAGGGTCTGAAAAGAATGCAAGGTTTAAAAATAAAACAAATGGCAGTGGATGCAGCATAGCTTGGATGGAGTAGAGTATGGGCAAATAAGGTCAACGGTTCCCAACTTTATGGGGAACCCACTCTTCAAGGGGCTGCTTGGAAATAAATGGGATCATATTGGATTGTCAAAAAGAAAAGAAGTTAGAGCTTGCCATTGCCATTTAGTACTGACAGACCAGGTAAAATAAACATTCTACGATGTGCAGGACAATCCCACACAGTGAAGAGTTGTCCGTAAAAATGTCAGTAGAGCCCCCTTTGAGAAATACTGGGAAGTAGGTAAGGAATTAACAAAGTCTAGAGAATTTAACTCTAGGGCCTCAGCATATCCTTTAAAATCTGAGATCACAACCTCCATTTCACTCACTAAATATTTACTAAGTACTAAAAGATAAACTAAGGCACATTAAAATTTTAAAGAGTTTATTTGAGGTCAGGCACAGTGATCCCAGCACTTTGGGAGGACAAGGCAGGTGGATTGCTTGAGCCCAGGAATTTAAGACCAGCCTGGGCAAATGGTGAGATCCTGCCTCTACAAAAAATACAAAAATTAATCTGCCATAGTGGTGCATGCCTGTAGTCCCAGCTACTTGGGAGGCTGAAGTGGGAGGATAGCTTGAGCCCAGGAAATCGAGGCTACAGTGAGCCATAACTGCACTACTGCCCTCCAGCCTGGGTGACACAACAAGATACTGTCTCCAAAAAACAAAAACAAGAAAATGTTTATTTGAGCAGACAATGGTTAACTCATTTATGCGGGAGGTTGCAAATTTTTTTTTGTGAAAAATCAGACCTTGGCGATGACCTTGAGCAGGATATAAATAACTCCCACAAGCTTAGCATTCCAATAATGGAGCACTAGGCATATTAATGAATTAGTCAGCTCCAGAATGCAAGCAACATGGGGCTGCACCAAAGGGACACAGTTAGAAAGCTTTTGTAGAGTAAACGGCACAAGAAAGGCCAAGAAAATCTATGATTGGTCAAAGTGGAGTAGTCTTACTTGGATCATTCCAGTAAAAGTCAGTGGTTAGAGGTTAGTTGGTTTCTGATTGGTTAAGCTACAAGTTTCATTTTCCTAGAATAAGACCATTTAGACTGAGTTGGGCTTAAGTTTGTTTATGTAGGAACCCAGGGCACTGGAGCTTCCTCAGGCAATGGCCTCCCAATTATTTTAACACAGGAAGCTGTTTTTGCTGGGCAATAAATATGTTTCCTTCTTTCCTTTGACCATGATGAAGCTTGGAACTTTGTGGCCTACCTTTAATAATTGTACAACATTCACAATATATTTTCAGTATAACTCATCCTAATCACATCTTTCTATTCAAGTTTCATATTTCCACAATCTTGATTTCTCTTTATTTTTTATGTTATTTTATATTATATAGTTTATAAGCTACCTCAAATACTTTTGGAACTAAGCTACAAAAGTAAAATGAAAAAACAGAAAAGAAAAAGAAAACTAGATAGTAAGATGAGAAGAAAAAAATATTACACGGAGCCCCCAGATCATCCTGAGAGGTTTAAGATACTTTTTTTTTTTTTTTTTTTTTTTTTTTTTTGAGAGAGAGGGGGTCTATGTCACCCAGGATTGAGGGCAGTGGTGCCATCTTAGCTGACTGCAACCTCCACCTCCCAGGCTCAAGCGATCCTCCCACCTCAGCCTTTTGAGTAGCTGGGACCACATGTGTGCACCACCATGCACAGCTACTTTTTTGTATTTTTTGTAGACACAGGGTTTTGCAATGTTACCAAGGCTAGTCTCGAACTCCTCAGCTAAGGCAATTTGCCTGCCTCAGCCTCCCAAAGTGCTGAGATCACAGGCATGAACCACTACACCCAGACTTGGTTTAGGAGACTTTCAAAAAGAAGTATAATACAGTTTTTGCCTTCAATAGTTTGTAATCAAAAATTTTTTTTATTTTTCAGAATACACATTCTTTTCAAAGTAATCAAATTTTTAAGTAAAGATTCAAATTGAAAAGAACATCAGAGAATAATGGATAATAAAAAACAGTGATAAATTATACAACCACTGTTTGAAGAATTAGTATGGATTAAAATAATTAAAATTGCATGTATTACTATGTATTAAGAACTGGTAACAAACACTCAGAGCAACTTTTTGAGGTAAATTACTACGATTTTCTGTATTTTATAAATAAGGAAATTGAGACAGAGAGGGTAACTTGTCCAAGATAAGACAGCTGTTAAGTGTAGCAATTTGACCTAAGGCAGTCTGGAACCAGAGCCTGTGCCCTACAGGAGTTAGATTTCAGTTAATCCTTGAATTACAGGAGGATATAGAAAGAAAAATAGAAGGGATGGGGGCAGTGGCAGTGAACCTTGGAACAGACTGAAATGAGGTACACCAGTAAAGAACCTGAATGGAGAGTATAGATTGAGGGATATTGAGAATCTAGGGACAGGGTGCAGGAAGTTTACAGTCTTAAAAGTCAAAGGAAGCTTGGAGAGGTAGCTCTCACCTTTAGTCCTCACT